CTTCTTATGTACATGGTGATATGCAAAAATATTTGCAGTCCTTTTCTTTTCAACTCAGAAGTCATTCTTCACAGTCATACCCTTATGCAGTTCTCTATGCTGTTGCCTATGAATCTCTTTTCTTCTAAATAAAGCATAAATTATGCTATCTAAAGTAGATTTGTAAACCCATAACCAAGACTGCAAATATTTTTGCACAGCCCGATGTACATAAGAAGCTTGAGGAATAATTTAATACCCAGTTAATTTTCCTTTCAGGAATTATTACAGCTTGAACCATTTTTCTGTGGTCTAATTAATAAAGGAATTATTAATTAATAAAGGAATTATTTTTAAATGTGCTAATGCAGTGTCTCAATTTTGAATGAAAGAGGAAATAAGGTTAATGTATTCTATTGGTTATCAACATGAAAACATATATTGGTCAAAAAAAATTTAGATTAGAGGATTTTAATTAAATTAAAATTAAAAAATTTTAGATTAGAGGATGTTTTAAAAAACATTCTTGAGTAGACAAGTGCTACTTCTCAGACTGTCTTTCCACTTGTGTTTCAATTTTTGCCTTGAAAATTATGTGGAGAAATAAGGAAAGAGGAAGGAGAATACATTTTTCAACAAGGTTTCAAAAGAAAAAACTCAAGAGCTTTGACCATAATGAAAATGATTGGATTTTTTTTTTTAATTAGCAATGATGAAATTTACTTCAGGCATGCCACTGCATTTGTTTACTATTATTAAAATATTCTTTGCATCTTCTCCATAAGTCAGTTGTATATGGGTTGTGAATTTTAGTGTGGCATTTACTCTCATCTCAGTTGGAATAAACTTTATTTTGATGTAAGAGTGCAGTTTTCAGTATGGTGCCTAAGAAGGCATTCACTCTATTGCAAGTAATTGAAATTGCACAGCAGATAAAAAAGAAACAAAACTAAACAAAGTGAAAAGCCCAGCTTCTTCTAGAAGAAGAAAAAGGAAAATCATGCTTTGGCAATGAGGAGGTGTAAAGAAGTACCATACAATTTTTTTTAAGATTGGGGACACCAGAAAAATTCAGTAACAGATGTTCAGTTCAGAAAAAGAACCAATATTTTTGTGTTGTTCATCCTTGTTCCTGTTTGTTTTTGACTTTCCTCTTGCAGTCCAGTCTGGACTGTCAGTTCTCATTGATACCACTTCTGGCACACTTCCCCATTAGATGATGACCAGTGCTCCTCATCTTTCCCTATGAATCTTCTTTATCACTATTAAACAAAATCACTATCCTCCCTGTCACTCAGGTATTAGACATTTCTGTTCTTAGAGCCCTATCCAGTAAGAAATATCGAAATACTGCTACTTTCTCTATACAAGTTTTGGAAGCTTCTTTTGCTTTGCACATAGCCATGTCTTTTCTACCACATTACACTGATCAATGCAGGCTGCTTTTCTTTTACATCTGTGACTCATCAGCTTTTCTCCAGTTCACTGTTACCACAGCTCTTGCAAAGATCAGATTTGTTAATCTCTTTTTTCTTGTTTTCCGTTGCGCTCAGTTGAATTTGTCCCTCCATCTGAAAAATCTCTCACAGGTGTCTCACTATTTTTCCCAGAAGTTCATTTTGCCATTGTGCCTTCCAATGTCATCCTTTAGAAATGTCTTTGTCTTTTGTTGGTCCCTTCACTGTTCCTTTCCTATTGGAGGAATGGTATTAACTGGTTGTTTTTTTCACAGCCGTCTTCTCTTTGTGACAGTTTCCAAAGACCCATCTTTCCATTTGTGTGCATAATGCCTCTGAACTTTCGGGTTCAGCTCCATACTTCCCTTTTATCTTTAGCCAAATAATTAAGGACATACAAAGGAGCACTTGTTACAGGAGAAGAGCATGCATTTTCTTAAAAATGCTCCATTTAAGACAGTTAATAAATGTATAATTTGTACTACACATATATTAAAAGGGGTATACAGAGTTATGATAGACCAAAAAAAAAAAATTCTAGTGTTGCCACCCAATTTTCACTTTCTATTCTATTATTAATATTTAATGGTGACTGTTCTGAGAAAGCACTGATAAGGTGTACATGTACAATATAGCTTGGGAACTATAACTATATTTGTGTAACTGTTGTTATTATTGTTCTAAGTTCTAGGCAGATTTTCTTTATTGTAAAGATATTGTGAAAAGTTGATGTGCCCCAATAAGTGCCTTCTTATTAATATTCTGATCACACATTTTTTTCCTTTGTAAAAATGAGCCTTAAGCTGTTAACACAACAGTTTTCAACTAGATGAGGAAAAGACCAGAACAATGTATCTGCAAATGAAGTTAAATATTGAAAAGACCTTTACTTTATGTAAAGGCCTATTTCTCTAAAAAGTTCTATAGGAACAATGTAATGGTTATTCTCAGTATAATAAGGCACACTAAGGAATACTTCAAGGCAAGAGCATCAGTGTTTGCGGGTGCATTTCTTGTAGAGAACTATGTCATAAAGCAGATGTGGATTGTAAGGCATTCTTCATGTCATTTGTCTCTAAGGTTTATTGAGAAAGCCTGCATCAACTTTCTTCCACCCAATGAAAACTTAAGGTTTTGACACTCTATGTCGTTTAACTTGAGTTTGTGAGAATATGTCTACCTTTATAATTGTAGGAGCACGTGTTTTTTAAAAAGCTCTTAAGATAGCACAGAAGAACCCTCACATCTGTCTCTGAAGCACTGAGTGATAAAAAAAATGTGGCCATGTAAAAGGAAGCAATGAAAAGGAAAGAATGAAAGTAACAAAACAACCAACAATAACTTCAGCTTTCACTGCATATATTGCAAAAGCAAGTTTTATTTTCTTAGTAACTTTTTTGCTGTCGTGTTTTCCATCCTCTCTAATGTATACTCTTATCCCTGTGTTTTTAGAGGAAAACAAAGCTAATAATTTTCTTACAGTTTCAGTCTGGCCTTTACATGTGTACTCCAATGTACTGTGGAAGAGGTCACAGCACGCAGTTAATTTGTGGTTTTTAAATAAATGTGCAGAGTAGCAATGGAACAAATAGGTCTCATTAGCTCTGTTCCTAAAATTGTATTCAAAATTACTATTCACCTCCCATCTCACAAGAACAAGACATTGTAAATAGGTTGTTTGGTATTTACTGAAAGCTGATGGCAGGCTCGCTGTTGTGTCAACAAGACTTCCTGCTCAGTCTTTCACTGAGGGCAGGTACTGACCTCACCTATATGGAGAAGGGCTGTTTACCCAATTCATGACTGAAGAAGCACTTTTTTTCACTGGTAATAGACAGTAGAGTTTAAATGTATGTTGTAGCAAAAGAATTGCTGTTGCTCTAAAAGATGACCAAAAATAACCCAAATTTTATGAGTTAGCACAGATGTTAGCAGGCAAACCGAGTTCATGAATGCTTCCCAGCCCTATGGAAGAGAGTATTTGAAAAATTTCAGTGGCTGCCTTCCAAACTATAGCAAAGGTTTGAAAGTTCTATTAAAGTGAGTGATATTTATTCACAGATTAAAAAAAAAACCAACAAAACCCCCCCCCCCAAAAAACCCAACCAACCAAAAAAAAAAAACCCAGTCAAATAAACCAAACAACTTAGTCTGTAATTAACAGCATTTTTGTGAAGATTGAGGGTTTTAGGCTGCCTGTGAGAATGTTTTAATTAGTATCACATTGAATGCAGAGCATGTCCTTAGGTTATGCAGGAGCTTACTGTATAGCAGATATAACTGTAAACTTACTGTCTGTGACATATAAGAGGGGAACAAAAGAGTGCTTAGCTGCATGGTGAAAGTCTTGGGCATGTGGGAAGAACCATAATCAGTGAAATAATGCGGGGTCTCACATGTTTGTAGAACTTCATAGACACCAACCAATGTCATCAAATACTGGCATTTTCTTTGGATAAAAAAGGGGTAACAATGACTTTTTTATTTGTATTTGAGTCCATATGTATTTTGTAATTTAACAAAATAGAAAAATATAATAATAAGCACAGTGGAATAACTGTGAATTAAGTGAAAGGACCATATTGAGTACAGTTGTTAGGTAAGCCACTCATTCATACCCCATCAGAACCTCTTAGTACCTGCTATTTATTTCCTTCACCTTATGTTTTGCAGCAGTCCAGTTGCTATGAGCAAGAGTATCCTCAGAAGATATAAATATCTTCTTTTCAATTTTTTACTGTCAAAAAGTTAACAAGAGAAAAAGACATGCCTATTTGTAAAAATTATTTTCTTGGCAAACACAATTGTTAGCTAAAATGTATGCAGAACAAATCTCTGATTACTCACTCTGAAAGAAGCTTGGATGGTGACTGAGCTTTACAGGTCTATGCCAATGCCATATCTCAGACAGTTACAGAGGATGATTGCTGAAAGTCACATAGGTTTTTCAATTTTCTGGGGATTTATTCCTCCTTATTATGAAGGGGATACAATTACCTTTAAAATCATTGGTGCCTCAGTCTTCAGCATTCTCAGCACTGCAGTATCTCTCTGTCTGACAAAGGGAGAAAGACCTTAGACCTTGAAGAGTTTGGAAGAAAAATACGAAGGAGATAAAAGTAACTTACACATTCACTCCACTTAACTACTCTTCCTGACAGTTAGATAAAAATTGGGTTTTCTTTAAAGCCAGTGTTAGAAGTGGTGGCAAAAATAATCTCTGTAATGTATTTATTTGTGAATTTAGATGGCTGATATTGCAGTAACTCTGGATGATCCCATCCTATTCTGTTCAGGATTTCTGTTTTGACTGTCAGAGTCTCCAGCAAATGTGCACAAAAGAAAATAGTTTTAGTGAAAAGATAATAATCTTTTTGTTCTTCTTTCTTTTAACTGCATCTGATTTAAGCTAGAGGAATAGAAGAGCCTGTTCTCTTCCACTTCACTCTTTCTTCTTTGGTTTATTCTTTACTTGAAAGGGCTGCTTTTAAACGAGGGCTAATGACATTACCATGGGTGGTGCAAGAGAGGCAGGCTGACGTGGGTCTCGTGTTTTTTTTCCAGATGAGGATAGGCATTCACTCAGGTTCGGTGCTGGCCGGCGTCGTTGGTGTGAGAATGCCACGCTACTGTCTCTTTGGGAACAACGTCACCCTTGCGAGCAAGTTCGAGTCAGGAAGTCACCCGCGCCGCATCAACGTCAGTCCCACCACCTACCAGTAAGTGCTCCTAACCCTTTCCCCTTGTTTCTATTTCAGCCTGTTTTCAGTTCCATCTTGTGACATGCTCTGTCCTCAACGTGTGAAATGCAACAGAAAGTTGGTAGGGCTTCAGGACAGCTGGAAAGAGGTATTGCTTGGGGGATGTCTGTCTGTCGCTTGCAAGTTTGTATCAGAACAAGCAAAGAAGTGAGGCATTGGAGACAAGGAGAAAAGAACAGAAAAGCCAGTCATTCCTGCCTAAACAAATATGTAACAGAAGAAGTGGGAGATGTCTCACAAAGCAGCGTAGTTTTATGCACTGTTACAGCTTTTGACTGAGGATTTGGGTTCTGCCTGCTAAATACAATTCCTGAAAGAAAACATACTCCCATTCTCTCAGAAGGAAGTCTGATTTTTCTGGTAAGGCCAAGCTTACAGAGAGATTTAATGCTTTCTTGAAGACAGAATTGCTTATTTAGCTCTGTAAAGACACACTTGATAGAAGCATTCTCATAACGTAGGAAAAAAGATTGAAAATGGCAAAGCATTATCACTAGAGCTTTGAAGAAATTATGCAAATGGAGAGAAGGCTTGATTGAATCTGGTTATGAGGAACAACTCCTAAGTAAAAAAGGTGTTCCTTATTGTTCAAATTTGACAGTTTGACTATTAGAATTTCTACTGCTTAGATTACAGCTGATGCACTCACTTTTTTTTGGCAAGATATCTCAATCTTCCAGTGTTCTAAATCTGAAGTAATTTTCTGAAGGTTTTGAGACTGTGTGGCAAATCTGTACACAGTTTCTCAAACAATATTACTTTTTTTTTTTTCCTATTCAGAACCGTGAATCTCAGTTATTTTCCCCCATAGCTATCTATGTAAATAAAAATTTTAAATGGGATTTCTTTATCCAAGTATTGAAGTGTCTGCTATGCTAAAATATGAATCAGTCAGAAATTAAAAATAATTAAACTAGTGCATAAAGTGACATTCTTCTGGAAAGCCTGGTCACTTGAGATCATATTTTGAGACTGAAGCGAGTGTAACAAATTGAACAAGAGATAGAATAACTGACTAAACTTTGTATCATAAAGTGAACAGAAATAGATTCATACAGTTGTCTCGTAACATGGAAGAGAAAGACAATCTTATTATTCTCCAAATCTATTGAAATCTAATCTATTATTGTTTGCAGAAAACATTTTCATTTAAATAAAAATAAATTCAATAAATATATAGGAAATTTCTGTTTGGAATTTGGTATCATTTGAAAAGAAATTTGTTTTGGGACCTTCCGTACACAGCATTCTACAGGCTTTAGCTGTTGGTAATCCACTGTGGGATAGAAGGAACCCTCTAAAACCTTGCTTGAATAGTCACCATAATTTTGCTTACCATTTGTACTCCAGTTACAAAAATTACACAGTAGCAGGGCCTTTGGTGTGTGGTTTGTGGTCTGGCAAAAGGTGACCAAAGGCCCTGTGGAGCTGGACTTTTCTTGAATAGGATCAGTTCTTATAAAGTGCTGTTCTCCAAACTGAGATATTTTTCAAGCTATTCTGAAAGCACAGTCCATACTTTTTCAGAAGAGAGATCTTAGCGCTTCACAAATGGGCGGTGCAAAAATTTCAGGGGAGTGATTTCACTTGGGGCTTTGGTGTTGCTTCCTCATGTTTGTGTTCCTGAGAGCAGAAACTGGTGAGCTAGGCAGCTTTATGGAAATACAGCTAGAGCTCTCTAGTATCTGTGGGACCTGTGGTGCACAAAACTCCCTTCATGTTGGGGCCAGAGTCACTTTCTGTGTACCAGAGCACCGTGCTAGTTGTGTTGAATTTGGTTCTGAGTGATACGGTGCTTCCTCTGTGAGACACAAATTTGTGGTCATCCTTGAACAATCTGATCTAGCTGAAGAGGTTTCTGTTCATTGCATGTGGGTTGGACTAGAAGGGCTTTTAAGGTCATCTCCAACCCCATTGATTCTATGGTTCTGTGACTGTATTTTCTTTTCATCACAATGCTGATAAAAAGACTGTTTGAGGGCCTGTGTCTGGAGCTTTTTAGCAATCTGTGGGTTTGTGCTGCCTTTTTTCTGACTCCTAGTACAATGTGGCACAGAGAAGATGGCATCTCTTTACCTGTGTCTCCCCTCTGCCTGGCTGCCACTGGGCATGTTGTACCATGGCAGGTCAAATGTGAGTCACCTTGGAGAGCATTCTTACTAAGTCCTGTGTACCAAAACGTGAGTCAGATCTTCTCACCCTTGCATATCTTTCAGCTTGTATCAAAAATGAGTCTACAGGTGTTTTTGCTTCCCTTTAATCCTAGAACTCCAGTATGAATAGGACCATTTTTTTCAAGATGGCTGATCTTTCACCTTATATGACCTTCATGTCCTGTACTTACCTTGCAGAAAGTTATTAGTGTAGGCTGTTGCTTCAAAAAGGGATGAAGGTGGAAAAAGCGACTGATTATGTAGTAATGTTGTAACACAAAATTGCAAAACAATACACAACAAAATGCAGAATTACTGCTATTTTTTATCTGTATGATTGTACTCAGTAAACAATCTGCTGTTAACGTGCTGAACAAATTCAGTGCGTGATTCAGAGAACTTGCAGTGAAAGTAACAGGCTAGACACATGGTTTCAGGTAAAGGAAGTAGAAATGGCAAGAAAATACATGTTTGAATAAGATACAGTTATCATTCAGGATGAGTGGATAAAAGCAGTGAGGATCAGGCTAGGAAAAATTTTATATTACAGGCTTGGGAAATGATGTGAAAAGGTAAAATGAGTGTGCATGGGGCAACTTGAAAAGTTGATTTCAAACCATGCCTTCTGCATAGTTGAAAGCTTGAAAACTAACAGGGAAGAAGTCAAGAAATGACACTGTTGACACAGTGGCCAGAAGAGACTGCAATTACAGAATACTCAAAGGGGCAGAATTATTCAGAGTTTCTGAAGGGGATTTTTGACATTTAACACATTAACCTGGCAGCGTGCAAATCAAAAAGTAGTGATCTGACACATCCATATGTAACAATTCTTAAATACAATTTGTATGAGTATGTATTTATTGTGTATAAATAAAGTGATTCATCACAAACTGAAATGTATTTGACTTTATATTCTATTCAGTGCTTCTGTTTGATCATCCTGTGCTGCTGTGCACTTTGTTAATACTGCTGTTAATATTTCTCTTATCTCAATGTTTTCCAAAGTAGATAATTTTGCAGTCAGTATGAAAACAACAGAATTTCAATTATATGAGACTACTGGCATTTATCATCACATGTTTGTGTCTACAATGGCCCCTGATGGAAGTTGTGATACAAGTTTGATAAAGCATGCAGGTGCTGGAAATGTGTCCAATACTTAACAGCTTTCATTTTACAGTAAAGATTATGCATCATAAAGTGTCATCAGCATTCAAATAATAATCACATTTAAGAATACCTATTACTGGTTACAGACACTTCCCTACAAGCCTGTAATCTGCCTAAGTAAGAATCAGAGTCTAAAATGATAAGTACAAGGTGTGATGTTTGTTGCTTAGCAGCAGGAGTGAGCCTGGGGCAGCCTCACAGACCTCCTGAATTTTTTTCTTAAATGAAGGAATGGAAAAGAAAAATAAAATAATTGGATAATTCTCATATACTATCTCTTTTTGTTAGAAAGCAAGATCATTCCCACCGAGGAAGGGACAGAACAAGAATTTTAAAAGCTTTGAAAGATTTCAGGTTAGGAAGAGAAGGTGTTAAAGTTAATCAACTGCAAATCAGTGTTCAAGGAATTCTTCCTACCCTGAAATATGAACAAAGAGGACAAGCTGAGTGCAGAACTAATTCCAGGCAATTTATAGGAATGCTTGAGTACCCTGACCCTCACAATTCAAGCTCTGAATTGTAAATTGTATATCCAACTATTTGAGTGAAACCCAGAATTCTGAACCTGTGAAAAACCTACTATAAAAATATCCTTTCAATAGTGCCCTGAAGGGAAATTCACAGAAGTGATTCAGAAAATACAGCTAAGATAAATGATTTGGGATATTTTCAGACTAGTTTTTTATGAATATTCCTGAACTGCGGAGGTTGTGTAACTTCAGCTTAAGCCTTCTGAATATGGGACAATCTGGGAACATTTTTTATACAGTTTAAGCTGCAACATAATTTCCTGACAGTGAAGGATAAGATTGTGCTCTCAGGGTAGATTGTTCTCTCAGGCTTTCACAACTGGCAGTCTGACTTGTTCACAAAGGAGTGCCCTGGGAATGGTCCACGAGGTGAGGCAGCCAACCAGAACTGGGTGCCACTACCCAGGAAATGTTCCAGGGCAGAAGGTTTTACGCTGAATCTTCTCCTGAACCAGAGAGGAAGTGCAAAAAATGGATTGTATGGGATAGAGTGGCTTGGTCAGCACCTGGTGTCCAGCCAAGGTCAGCCCACCACAGGGTGGCTCAGTGCACATCCCTAAGGATGTGCACTATTCATTCACCTGCTTAGCACAAGGACTTTTGGGGCTCTTTGTACCCATAAAAATGGAATTCAATAAACTTAGAAATGGCCATGACCATCAACTGCTATTGATTTCTTTTTAACATCACAAGTGGCCTAAAAGTAAGAGTCAAGATTTTGCAGAAAATTGTCATCACTGATACGCACTGAGAATTTGCAGATAACTTGTTTCTTTGGTATATACACAAAGATGTAAGAAATCAGAGTCAATTTCTGAATTATGATCGCATTCTCAGACTGGGAAGACAAGTGACAGGACCAACATACTATTTAAGGAATTAGAAGAACCTGTTCTTTAGGAGAAAGCTAACAAGAGGTCATTTCCATCATGATGAAAATCTTTTTAATAATAGTATTCTATAAGCCAGAATTTTATTTTTATTATTTTTTGTTTTTGTTTTCCCCTTAGAAGTGGAAAGTAATTTGGACAGAATGTAAGCACAAGTAACTTCCATTAACACCTACTTGGTAAAAAAGGTTTCCTGCCATGTTTGCTTGAGAGCTGAGGTGTTACCTCAGTAAGGGTCATCTGGACAATTTCTGAGGGTTAGAGGCTGATTCAGGCAGTGCATCTAATACAGGGATGTGGAATCTATCACAAGCCACAGCAGTAGAGGAGTCTTCAAGAGACTAATTGTCTCAGTCCTGGAACATTTAATTGCAACCAAGTTACAATTCACAAAACAAGGGAAAATACGATGGGTAATTAATATCTTGCACTTTTTTTAAATTAGGAAATAGTATAAAATATCAACTAATCTTAGTGCCAGCCCTGAAATGAATAAAATAATATAGATATGTTTTGCAGTTTTGGATTTGTGTAACTGTCATTAAAATTGCATGATGTTAGACTCTGATGAGGAAACCACTGACTTTTAGGAAGTCTGGTTGCTCCATAGTGAATAGTCAGTGTGAGGTAGAGTGGCTACACTACTTAGAACTTAGAAAGTTCTAAGATCTCAGCTGCTACATGCAGAAATCTCATTTGGGAAGCTGTGAAGAGTTATTTCAGTATATTAAATCTGTAGTTTGGACATACAAAATATTTACTGCAAACACTGAAGAGATGAAAAGAGAGAAGCTTCTCTGTAGAGTCCTCCACAAACATTCATGCAATTTAGAAAGCACTGCAGTATTTTGGTCATAAAGTTGACAGTCTGGACCTTCGAAGCACATGCTAAATAAAGTTCTCCACAGAAATTCAAAGGCAGAAACTTTGTTGGATTTATAATCGAGCTATTGTTTAAAAGCTGGAAAGAAAATGCCTTTATATGTCAATGAACTCATACAGACTGTCTCATACAAAACTCATGAAAAATACTCAGTAAAGGAAGTGCTATTGCATATACTGATAGTCCTGCAAAATTTTCCTGGCAGTGGGGTTCATTCATTCATTTGCTTTCCAGAAATTAGCTTTACAGACATTAAATAATCTACCTATTACAAAATTCTGTGGAAACTTATACAGTTCTTCCCAGTTATGTTTTTGAGCTTGAAACTGATTGACAGAAAGAATAAATATCGTTGGAGGGAAAAGAGGATGAATGCTTTTGTATATCCAACTGTGCTCAGAATCTACCATTGTCTCAAAACTGCTCTTTTCAATCCTGCAAGAGATTGAATACCACTAACTTAATTTACTTTATTTATTGGAAACAAAAAAGAAAATGTAGAGTTACTTCCTTTATTTTGCAAGTCCAGATAGTTCTAGGGAAGATACTTGATAAAGATGCCCTAAATTTTCAGAGATTTCTCCACCATGGCTAAGATGGCAAATGGCAGAAGGCAGCAGAGTCAGGTCTGTGGTGTTGTAGCAGCTGAGCAGGCATGCCAGGAGATGGCTTCATGGATCCAGGGAACCTGGATCCCTTTTTGACCCAACCAAATAGCCTAGATTAAACCCATGGGTACTGTTGATGAATAGTGTCAGATCTGATTCTGCTGTTGTAGTTGGATTTGCTGTATTTGAACCCAATACTGAGTGTGAGAAGGGCACAAACTGACCTCCCTGCTTTTATCTGTGAGAGCTCCCAGGCACTGCCACCTTCATGCCTGCCTTCCAGTGGGAAACCTGCTGGTAGCCATCACTCTGAAATGTTAATTTCTGCCCAAGTGACCAGACTGAAGTGTTTTAACTAACCCAAATGATATGTTCTGGATTACTATCATTATGAATTTGGTTCTCTTTCTGGTACATTACTTTCTGAATGCTGACACTGATTTTGAGAGAATGTTTTTTTTGAGCCATCCCTTCAGCTGATCTCAGTGAACAGAGCTCCTCTAAGTTAATGATGATAAGTTCACATATGTCAGCTGAGGACCCTGATTTCTTTATATGTTACATAATAGTCTAAACTCACTTTTCATTTGGTTGCACATAGGATCCACCTCTTCCAAAGAGTCATTTCTAGAATATGTTTTACAGTATTTTATATCCTTCTGTTTTGTTTTTCTCCAGGCTTTTGAAAAAGGAAGAAAATTTTATTTTTATCCCTCGTTCCCGTGAAGAGCTTCCAGAAAACTTTCCAAAGGAAATTCCTGGGATCTGTTACTTCCTGGAGGTCAGAAGTGGTCAGAAGCCGCCAAAACCTTCCATCACATCTGCCAGAGTGAGAAAGGTGTCTTACAACATCGGCACCATGTTCCTCCGGGAAACTAGCCTATGAGGCCTGCTGCAGATCAAAGACTCGTCAAAAAAGCACAAGCCCAGAACTGGGTCATGACAGGGGAGTTGGAGGTTCTTTGTGTCTCACTGCCTTCTTCTGAGCAGGCAGTAAAAAGCTCCATGTAATGTCAGGCAATAATCATTTTAAAAGGTGGGTAACTGCTGTCAGTAAGCAAAGTGGAGATAAGGAAAAAATATTAAACAATGTACTTCCACTTCCAGAGGAATTTCTTTCACAAACTTAAGTCTGGCCCCTCTATGGCAAACAAAACAACAAAACAAAACCCCAACTCTCAAATTAGAGGTTGGTCTTGTTTTGTGCAGAAAGGATGATGGTTCTCTGTAGATTTGCACCAGCTAAGCAGAATTGAGAGTCAGTTCTGATTATGCATTCCTATATTTAATGTGTTCTTCAGTAAGGTAATGATGTTTTTTAACTTTATGAACAAGCATTTCATACATATACTGTAGAGCTATTGTAACCTTCCTGGCAGGAGGAATTATGACTCAGTACAAATATTGTAGGAATTTTACCTATTTTTATACATATTTCACTTTCTGGATAATTACATTCCACATACTGTAAGCTGAGTGAATTTAGATAGCTTTTCAGAAGAAGTTACTGTATATTTCATACATTCTACCTTTCAAACCTTATTGTTACACAAGTGGGAAGAAGGCATTTCTTGACTTTTTGGCAACAAAAAAATCAATATTTACAGAATAAAAACCCCACTTTGGTAAATTACTTTATCCAGTTTTTATGCTAAAGCTTTAGATGAGAACTGTCTTCTTATATTAAAATAATGTTCAGTATTTGTCCTACAGTGTTGTATGTCCAGTCCTTCCAGGACAATGTAAACAAAGTGCAGAAGATCAATGTGTGGACAAAGAGAAAAGTTCTTCTCAATGGGTCTTCTTTTCCCTCCAAATTATCAGCCAAACTGATTTTCAGTAGAAGCCCTGAACTTCTCTAAAAAGTCTATTGAAAACTTATTCTGAGGAATTCCAGCAGACACTGGAAGCTATCTGGATGCTGGTTTTCCACATTTTTTAATAGGACTTGTGCTTGTAATCCAGATTGATTGTTGAAAATCCATTCTGTTCATAATGATTGCTCATTTGGAAATTTCCTCTATTGTTTGATTGGCTGAAGGTTCCCTGTTTTTCTAGTTAAGATCAGAAAAACACCAAAAAGGGAAAGAGAAAGAAAAAAAAAGAAAAAAAAAAAAAAAGGAAAAAAAAGGCCAATTCTTTGCTGTTGAAAATTAATAGTATTATTAATAGTATTATTGTCTTCAGTTAATCCAGTTCAAGCAAGGTGTGTATCTGGCACATTTTCAGGTTTATTTCTCAGGTTTTCTTTTTTAAAGGTAGTGGTGGTCAGTTTTCCTGTGCAGGTGTACTGCCTTTGGATCATACTGGGGTCATGATGTTCTGAGCTTGCAGATTGTTAAAATTCGTGCCGTGATTCCAAAGCGGCTTAGCTGTTCGTGGGCCTTTAATTACTTTAATCAAAGATAAGACTCAGCAGCAGCTAGGAGGCATGAGAAACTCAGCATTTCTCTAATCCAGAACAGAAATGAGTTTGCTTATGGATTTAGTAGTCATAAAATGAGGCATCTCTTGAAAATAAGTAAGTAACTGTCACCACATTTCGGGATTGTCCAGCTGGATCTTTCTGTGAAAGGAATGACAGTTGTCTGTTTCTCCCCACTGACCAGTAGCCCCTGTGAGTCAGCATGGTGCTGCTGCCCTGTGCTGAATAAGTTTCAGGCTTCTTTTCCATGAGAAAGGACTGTCTTGAACCTTTACAGACTTCAGCATTCAGAGGACATCTGAAATTACTCTGCAGGGGTGAGTTTTTCCTTGCCTGAGGAAGGAATGGGAATTAGCATGGGAATTAGCCCAGAAACCTATTTTAATGCAAATTCCCTCACTTTCTAGTGGGATACTGATGTTAAAGATTTCTTCCATTGGTATTAGAGCATTCTTGGGATTAGAGGAGTTATTTTTTTTATCTTCCTTGATAAACAGCATATGGAATTCTGTGGCCTATCTGAAAAATTACTTAAAAAAAGCCGTTCAAGCTAGAGGTTGTGGAATTTCCATGCAAACTACAGATCTGAGCATTTCCTGCACAGGATGACAAGTTTTAGCCTATAGCCATTAGTTTGCACATACACAGGATGTAGAATGCATTTTTTTTACCCTGGGAACACCAGTGAGATGTGTAAGAATCATAAATGGATCAAAGTTCATGTTTCACCACTGAAAGAGGAATGCCATTTCCCAGCTAATAAATCCATGGTTCTTATGTCATTACTTAGTTCCCTAGAGTGATTTTTTTTCAAATAGCCATTAGTAGATTTAGATTTCAGTCTGACTTCTCTGTCACGTCTTCACTGTTCAGTAAGTGCTGGTGTCAGTCCCAGCCTATCTGGCCAACCTCTTTTTCTCTTCTCACCACCCACCTATGTGAAGAGTATACATGTAGAGGTTTAAACCGAAAGCTTGTAGTTCGATAACTTTTCTCCTACAGTTGGCAGTAAGAAATGTCTAGGTTAACCTAGACATTCTACACCTGATCTTGATCAATGGAAACATTTTTAATGAATGATGGATAGATGCTAGTATTACTTGCAAATTGGAGAAGCAATCAAAACCAGTTTGTATCACCATCCTCATCCTCTTAGAGACTTTTTGTTGTATAAGGAAATTTAAAATCATAGAGATCTGTGTGAGAACTGAAAATTGGTATCTGTATCACCATGAATACATTGATAGTGTTTGAAAATAACCCATCTAGCTCCCTGAATTAGAGTACACTGACTGTATAAAAGTATACAGTCTTTGTTTTTCATAAGCTTATGTAAAGGTAACATATCTAGAACTGCAGCACAGATACTAAGTATTGTCTTACTTGTGTTATGATGAGGGAAGTTAATGAAAACAGTGTGGGCTCTCTGGGGACATTTTTCTATGTCAATGTGAGGAATGTAAAACATTCTCAGCACTTTCTAAAGAAGTAGTTGCATCTGCTGCCTTTCATATTAGGTTGCAAACTTATTTTGTTGGACACCTTTACAAAGTTAAATGAAACTTATTATCGAGATTGATGTTGTCATGTCAATTATGTGGTAGGTTGTCAGACTCAACGTTTTTCCAACAGCACTTACTTTTGGTGATAGGGAAAAGGTTCTCATTTTCCTGGCATTGTCTTCAGAAATAGAAAGGTTCTCAGAATTTTTTATCTTGAGATGATGAGGTGGGGAGGTTAGAGTTGCTGAAATGGTTACAGAAATCATATACTCTAGCTGGAACTTCCTTTCAAGTTTTTACTCCCTGTAAAACAGATGATCTTTGGTTCCTCTGGGTAAGAATTTACATTCTTGTGTTTCTTCATGTAGCTGCAAGTAGCCACATCTGCTGTCTTGAGTTTCTGTGCAGAACAAATCCAACCTCTCTGAAGAGAGAGGGAGATCTATTTTGTATTGCATGTACAAGGCAAAGGGAAGGTGATGTGAGGACCCCCCCTAGCTGTTCATTAATCTCTTTGTGGCCAGTTTCTTGTACAAAAATCAGGAGGCCAAAGTGAAGAGAGTCCACAGTCATTTCCCCAGAACAGTTTTTACAGATCTTGTGTCAGATTTTTCCATCTGCTTGAAGCTTCCCATCACACAGGCTTTTCTGTGATGCAATTCATAGAGATCATGAACTTGGGGCAAAAAGGAAATAGTGATGAAGTGGTAGGGTGGCAGATAAATTTTGTTCTGCATCCCTCTGGTAAAATTTGCCATTCAAAGACAAAAGCCTCTGCACGGGAGAATTGCTACTAAGCCAGGACTGTCAAAGTGTGGTTTTCATGTAGGATCCCAAAGGATATTTCATTTTTAATTCCAGAAAGCCAATAGTCATTAGCTGTGATTGTGGTTTTGGCTTCTCTGCTCATTCCCACATACAGTTTCAGATCTGAATCTGTTTTGAAGCCTGGAAACATGCCTCTGCAAACAGAAAACCAGAGCTCTTAAAACCTTGAAATTCTTGTATGGGAATTGCCTGTTTTGAAGAAATCCTTGTGATTGAGTCATTAACAGTCCATGGCAGTTCATGTGTGTTCACATGCCATTTCACAGTGCTATCTCCTCTTGTGCTTACAATGTTCCCTACCAAGCCCAACAACAGGATTGGGCATATTTAACATCCATCTTCCATTTTTTCCTGTATAAAGCAAGCAGTGCAAAACCATGACATGCTGCATTGCTGCATGCATTTAAAAGTATCAGCCCTGCACTAAGATGTAAACTCTGATAACCAATTTCACATTGTATATTTCTTGCTCTGAACAGATCCTTCTCTCAGGCAATTTAAAAATGAATGGAAAAAAAAATAGCACCGAAAACGGCTGTGTGGAATTGTAAATGAGTCTGAGACCTGCATTGGTTGTTGGGGCAGGTTGAATTGCTGGACAGCTTTCTGATTCTTCAGCTGCCACAGGCTGTCACATGCTACATGCTTCATGCAGACGGTCCTGTCAAGGAGTCTATAATCCAGAAGCAGCACTGTAAACTTAGGGCATCTTCTGAGTTTTCCTCTTCTAGTCTCAGGCCACTGCCTCACTTTTGCTGAGTGCTCAGAGCTTGCTAAGGAGAGCTAGTTCCCTGTCCTAATGCAGTCTCAGAGTTCCTGGCTTCCTTTCTGGATTCTGGTGGTCTTTTGCAAAATTGTGCATGTGTAGTATTGGAAATAGCAACATGCTTAAATTAGCAGCAAAACAAGAAGCTTAAAAATGCTTGTCAAACTCAGAGGCAGTTGGTTCCTTTCCCTCAAGGTAATACATTATTCATAATGCTGTACAGGATTGAGGGTGCCAGTGACAGGAGAGGCTATGGATGAATTGAAGATGCTGAGTGTGCAGCAGCCTCAACCAGTAGGAGTTGATTAGCTTTTGCTTCTGTTAATAATTCCATCATCTTGCATGCTATGTCCTGCTCTTGGTCAGGGTTCTGCTCTCCAAAAGACCTCCACTTTCCTTCCCTTAGCACACTGTATGTGACATAGTGAATAATTCCTGTTGTTGTTCTAATTAGCATATACTGTTGACATGGCTGCTTATATCTAAAGAATAACTGGGGTTAAAGGGCTGATATTACTCTTGCAAGACAAAACTGCTACAGTGACACAGCAGGCACTCACATCCTTAGAGAGGGAAAAGACCACAGTGCAAGTTATCACTGGTGGATTTGGGTGAAGTCTGCATTAACAGTCCATAGGATGTTTTTAGCTTGCACAAGCACCAAATTTATCTGTGCAGATAGGAGTTACTCCTTAACAACGTTATTAATTTACAATGCTTGAGCAGACATACAACAAAAATCTGTGAAATATTTAACCTCATATACACAATTGATCTTTTGTGGCTTGGCTGTTAATCATGCTTGAAAGCAAGAGAAACAGTGAAATTGAGGAATGCAGCAATTCAGTCATAGGCAATGGATCGTTCACCCCTGCAGATGCTAACTTGCTCCTGTGCCTTAGAAAGGTTGACCTCCAGTTATCTGTGGTCCAGGTTGGCGTCACTGTGTCACTGTAGCAACAAGATGGCCTCTGAAAACAGCATGAGGCATCTCAGTCTGCTTCCCTCTGGGCTGGGGTTCACATTAGAGAGCCCAGTGTAACATGTGATGCAAAGAGGCAACTTTGCTGTCAGCCTTAGCAAAAGGATCAGTGGAGGCAGATGTTAAAACAGCTGTTTGCTCCAGGGATTTTAGTTTCCAAAGGCAGAGAGAGGCTGTACGTGTTTTAACTTGGACAAAAAGAGAAGGGAGGATTTCAGAGAAACAAGTGTCTTGCCTGGCTAGCAAGGAGGCAGTGGAATTAACATGATTCAAGAGGGATATGCTGATTACCTTGGCTGCAGCAGCGCCTTCAGCTGTCTGGCCCTCTTTGGCATTCCAACAATCTAGTTTCTTTTGAAAACTGGAGGACAGGTAAGCACTTCAGGCACTTGTCTCCTCTGCTTTAGAAAGAGTATGAGGCTGCCTAGATATTTGAGTGTGCTTAACTTTCTCAGTGACCACAGATGGCAAACTTAGACTAGACATCTGTTTTTTAAGATGGCCAAGATAAGTGAGACTGATCCCATTGAATTACATTCTTTTCAGCCCAAGTGGTATGTCTCAAATCTTCTGTTGTGCTGCTTTTCAGCATCCTGCACTGGCCAAAATAAATTGAATCAAAGAAGTGTCAGAGGGATAGATAAGCATACTCCAGGATAAATAGTTACCACTGTAGCCAGGGTGACTGTCCCAGACATGGGCTACTGTGGTTCTGCAAATCCCTAATGTCTGAACCCTTTGCATATGATACATGATATGCACTGCCAGTCACAACTCTCAGATGCCATTAGGGGTGTGATTTAGAAAATGTTTTGAGCTTTGAGCTCCTAGCTCAGTTATGCAAAACCTGTGTGCCACGTTCACCTGAGCTGCATGCCAGAATGCCTGCATAAACCTTCTCCTGTAGTCAAGATGGTAATAACATATATAGATTCTAAAGAACAGAGAGATAGTTGCCAGGTTATCATTAACACACATTTTTTTATGCTTTTGTGAATTTGTAGGCCCAAAGTTAACTTTCCATTATCAGAAGGTCTCACGTTGAGCTACTCATTTTCTAGGTAATTATTCCTTAGCAATACTCTCTAATGACTACTCTTGAAGCAATAAATAAAGCCATGCTAATCTCTTCTGTGTAGACTCCTGTACACCACCTTTCAACTTAACAAACCACTTTTCAGTGGGACATTAAATGGCAGAATAACACCCTTGTTATTCCTTGTTTGTCCTTCCATCATCTTCCTCAGAGAAGAAGAGCATGTAACTTTTGAGGTCGTGTTTTTTGTTAGTTTTCTAAAAGTATATGTTGCTTCTTAAATAAGGAAGAGCAAAATCAGAGGTATAGAACAGAATTAGAAAAGAGTTTGGGATGTAAACAGTATTTTAAAAGACTGACCACTGAGTGAGACTAGTTTCACATCCTAGAAACACAGGAAGAAATACAGGTAATAGATGTAAGATATACCCAGGAATGATAAATAGGAATAATAAATCAGGCAGATATATACAGTGGATGACTTCTGTTTTATACACAATAGTAAATAGATGCTCAAACTGATTAATGCCCACAGAGGGGAAATACTGTTTAATCCATTTTGGCATTTGTTTATTACCAGTACATCCCTAAGGTATTGTTTTTGTCCTTCCCTAATGAGATTGGAACATACTGTTAAATCAGTATCAGAGTTTCTGAACTTATTGCTTAAGAGCAAGCTTAGTATTAAATAACCATGAAGAGATTTTTTTAGATGTGAGCCACTGCATGGGAGAACAGATCATGTGGGAAAGAAAAAGGAGGTACTGACAGGTATATTTATTTTAGAAGTTTCTATGGCACTTCAGGTTGATTGAAATAATTCTGAAACTGCACACTGAAAGCATGGCTTCCCAGTTTAGATTGTTTGCATTTCCTAAGAAGGAGCAGGTAAAATTTTTCAAGGTACATTCTGGGGCATACTTCTCAATCTTATTTTCTCTGCTTAACCACAGCCTCTCTCTGAAAGTTGAATCTTGCTTTGCTGAATGATTCTGAGGTTCTAAGCGCCTAAATAAGTTTTGGAAATATGGGTTAAGTTCTCTAAGTCCCATGTGCTTATCAGTGTTTAAGTGTGTAAACATTCCTCTCTGGAAACTTCTTGTAGGTCCTGCAAGTGTATAAATAAGAAGCATCTGAAGAAAGTGAAGTCTGTGTGTAGGAGAGGGCAGCTGGATGTGGTGCTGATGTTAGCTTTCATCTATTTGGATAATGCAGAGATTATTCATACAAAGTGCAAGAAGGTATTGCACATAGTGTTATGAACTCTGAGGGTGTAAGGTTGAATTTTAGAATCCATAATCCTTAAAGTTTTTTGTAGAATTTCATGAGAAATGCATTATTTTTAAGTTTTTTATTATAAGCGTTGAATCTCCACTTACAGAGGAAAATTGTGGGGGGGAAAAAGAAAATCTACTAAGTCTAAATGCAAAAGAGTGTCCTGATTTTTTGTATTATTTGGCTTTTCTGGAAGTAGGAATAAGAATTCTTCCGTGAGTTTCAATACTGAATGCAACACTTGTGAAGTAACTTTGCAAACTAGAAATTTGGAGGTGGTAATAAGAATGTCTTCTAAAAAGTATATAGGGATAAATGTTAACATTTTTTTAAAAAATGGAGACTGCTTTGCACTGTAAGTAAATATTGTTCAGAAATACCTAAACAGAAAAAAAAGCTTGGAATACTGTTGTATCATAATAAAAAGGTTATTATTATTATCTCAGTATCTATGAGATAGTCTGCAGTTCACACCCTTCCTTCAGAAACAGTCCTATATATGGAGTTCTCAAGTGCACACTCAACCAAGAGTTGTGTGTAGTAAATTTCCAAGGAGGTACTGTTTTACCCAGCAGCTTCTGCAGAAATGCCATGCAGATCATGTTGGGTAAGGCTGAAATTCAGCCCCGTTGTTCAGAGCTTAGTAAGAGATACAGAGCATCCTAAACCCAAGCTTTAAAAGTGCTTACTGACAGGACAGCATTGTGCCTTTTACTGAAGTCTAAACAAACCCCATTCTAGACAAAACTGCCATCCATAAACATCCCATTAATACATGACATTTATACTGCCTTGCTGGAAAATTAGGACTTCACTAAGTTACAGCCATTAAGGTCTTTGATGCTAGAATATTCCTTATTATTCTTACTTCTCACTGTGCCCAGGTTGCAGTGGGGTTCTCTAGAGAACCAAGGGTATGGGGAGTTGCTGTAAATATGAGAGAAATTCAGTTGATCTGCATTTAGGTATCTAAAGCTTATGTCTGGTCTGAGCTAGTCAGGTCAGATCCCTCTACAGTCAGTGCAGACATCCTGGCATTTCAAAGAATGAGCTGTCCTGGAGAAAGTCTTAGGGATGAGATAAACCACTGCCTTAAACAGGCTCTTCTCTTTCCTTCCCAGTGGCCACTGTATGGAGGTGGAGGGCTAGTTCGGATTAGCTGCTGTGCTGTAGGTGAGGTGAATTCCACTGCAGTTAAGAATGAGAGGATGGAAAGAATAGAACATCAAATACATACAGAGACAAAGACAAGACTGGGACAAGGGCCAGCCTTTAGCCAGTGATTCAAAGACATGTGACAGTAAAATTATTAATATTTAAGATTTTAGAAGTCTGGCTAGGGGGTTTATTCTAGTTAGAAGAACATTCCTTTCAATTTAAAGCTATGAACCTGTGATTGTTGCTAGCTCCCCACTTCAGCTCTAAGATAGCACTAGTGTATTGTCTGATGTATTCACCAAGAGCCATCTCTCCAAACCATCATGTTATTATATACTGCACTGTTCCTTCTTGGAATAGCTTCTTCATCCATCCATCCATCCACCCATCCATCCATCCATCATCCATCCATCCATCATCCATCCATCCATCATCCATCCATCCATCCATCCATCCATCCATCCATCCATCCATCCATCCATCCTTCCTCCATCCCAGAAATGTATATTCTTTTTTTTTTTATTTTTTTTTTAATTAGCTTGAAACAGTATGTTCTGCTACACTGCTCCCATACATCCCTCTTCTGTTTGCAGTCACTGTTACGATCCTTAGACATCTGTGATGATTTTCACCGCAGTCATGGTCCGTGGGAAAGCTCCTCTTGAGAAGAGTCAACAGTGTGCAGTCCTCCACACTGTGAACTGTTAATCTCCAGAGAAAAGGATTAGAAAATAGTATTGTCCTCAAGAGCTGAGAAAACTTGCAGATTTTCCATGTACAGTAAACAGTTTCTATAATTACCAGGAAAACAAAACAGAGAGGCAATGAGCAGGGCTGGCCCATCTCATATACACTGCTGTGATAATGAAATCCAAACCCTGTGGAATTGCAGGCACATTATTCTCACTTGCTTTAAAGGTCAGCTAAGAAGCTGATTTCTCAAATGGGCTCATAGCTCTGAGACAACGTAACACTAGTCATTTCTTCCAATAAATTGCAGTTGTCAGAGAAACTGGATTAGTAACTCATGGAGCTAAAAATAGATACCATGGGCTTGCCAGAGAAGGGTGAATTCACTAACAGAGGTGAGGGTACATTAAAATATCACAACATCTGGAAAAAACCAAAAAAAATGCTCAGCTGAAAGCAAGTTAGCCATAAAATTACATTGAAAACAGTTCCAATCACAAAAAAGAAGTATAACAAAGTTTACTCTTAATTCTGTTTTATTCACCTTCTAAATCCACCTTGCAGTTTTTGTTTTATCTGTCTAATCAGTTTGGCCACAGTCCCTTCAAAGTTCAGTACCTGAAGTTATACACTGAAAGTTGTGTTAAAGCCATTGTTTGAATA